AGCAAAAGCTGAGGAAGCCACAAGTTAACTCACTTGGTAGCTTACCAGTGAATGTTATTCTTGGTGTAGCAGAGGCTTAGAAAAAGTAGGATGTGGAGACAGTAATGCTTCAACCAAGGAAGTCTGTGTAAGATGTCATGGATATTGAATTTGACCTTCTCGTATTTAACAAAATGTCCTGCTTCAGAGAGTGGAGTGGGATAGTCAACTCCTGACTTCTTGGGGATGACGGTGGCAGCTCCTCAGGGGCTCTCTTTGTCATGCTTTTCTTCTACACCAGTGACTCCAAATATTAAGGTGTATTGCCACAGCAGCATATCTTCACTGCTGTGCAATCAGGGGAAAAGGCCCCTTTCTTGCAAACTCCTCTTTGAAAAGGGCTGGAAAGGAGGCAGAACTACCCCCGCATTAATTGTTGAATTAAGAAAAGCCTAAAACATCCCACCTAGGGTTATGTCTGCACTGAGGTTACTGGGTACACCTATGTGGCTAAAAGCAGGAAGAGACAAAGGAACGCACGTCCACAATAGACATTCTCTCAGTTCAGAGATGACAGGTATATGTGTGTGCGTGGGTATTTATCAAACACTTCAAAATATATTTTATAGTTTTATAAATAATTACATAAAAATATTTTTATAATATACCTTCACAGTTGATTCTTACACACTGAGAAAGGCAGTAAATAAATAAGCTTAGGTTGCTATACACAATATAAGGCAAATGATGGGGACACTGTAATAGGGATAAGCAGGGCATTCTAGGTGCAGATGGCTCTTAAAGAAGGTCAAGTTACAACTTGGGTAGAGAAAATGAAAAGCAATCAACCACCTAGAGAGGCAGAGGAAGTGTGTTCTAGGTCAGGGTTTCTTATCTTTGTCCTTACGGTCCCTGAAGTTGATGACTCTTCCTAACAGGAGGCGGTCTTGACCAAGGATAGCACCCTCACCTCTGGCGATCACAGCCAAAACTGCTTCCAGCCACTGCCAAATGTCCCACAGGAGGGAAAAATCACCCTCAGGTGAAAAGCACTCTCCTACACAGGAATTAAAGAATGAAGAAAGCGAAGGACTGACTAGTGCGAGATGCCGTTAGGGATGAGAAGCGGATCATAAAGGGGTCTGTAGACCCTGGCAAGAATTTTGCATTTTATTCTACATAAATGGTAAGTCACTGAACAACTTTAAGTTGGGAAGTAACATGAATACCCTATAAACAGACTACTTTGACTTCTTATGTGAGAAATGGATCTAAAACTATGGCACTAAATGAGCCCTTAGGATCATGCACTAAAGGCATATCATCCTTTAATGTAGACTGAGGAAGGGTGGCAGCTCAGCAGGTTGTTGTACTTGCCACCACACCTGGTGACCTGAGTTCAATTACTGGGACCCACATGGTACAAGGAGAGAGAGAATTCACTCCCAAAAATTGGTCTTTGACCTCCCCATGCACATTGTGGCATGCGTGTACCCATACATATCAAACAAAGAAATAAATGCAGTATTTTAGCCTTAGCCTTTAATGGCTGAACTATCTCTTCAGCCCAGATGTAATTTTTCAAAAAGCCCTTGAAAGTGGACTTGAGAAGGAGAAACTGATGACATGGGAGGAAGCTAAGGACAAGGCCATGAAATCTGAGACGTGTGCGAAACAAGAAATGGTTGTAACTAGATTTTTCTGGGAGGCTCATCCCTGAGTCATAGTTTGAAGATTTCTTGCTTAGCTTGGTATCTTACTCTACGCTTAATCATTCCATTCACGAACTTACAAAGGCTTCCCATTCCATCAACCCTCCACTAGCCTCATTTTGTTTCTAAAACTTTGCTGTCTTAACAGGCACACCTTTCCTTATGCCTGCTTATTATGAATCTTTGAAGTTCATAATTAACTATCCACAAAAGCTCTGACAATTTTGGCCCAAACTGATGTCTTTATTCTCAGAAACAAAAATCAAACGTTTTTATTCCATCCACTAAACATATTTTGTTAAATACTGATGCCAGGAACTCAGCTATACCCTAGAGCTAAATGAAAAAATACAGTTGTGGCTCTCTAGAGCTTAGTTAGTAAGCAATTACTCATCGGTCCTCCTCATGAATGCTCGTAGGGAAAAAAAGATTTTTGTCTAGTATCTAATTCTGAGTCAGTCTTTCAGCTGTTATTTCTCTAGGCCACATTTTACTCAACCCCACCCTGCTCAGTCATGGTTTACTACACCAACAGCCATTACCTCCTGAAACTACCAGATCCCAGATCCTCAGGACAGACTGCTGCTGCTCCTACCAGACATCGGAGGTAGGATCTAGCCACAGGGTAGCTAGCACATTGCCCAAAACCCGAGTTATAAACAATCCAGAGTAACAGAGATGTGCTGGTGCTATGAAATTGGGCGGACCCTCAACTCAATGACCTAGGGTCTTCTCTGGCACTCCAAGGCTACCCCTTCTGATTCCTTTGCCTGAGTGAGGCAGAGATTGTTCTTCATAATTTAGGTCCACCCAGTCAGATACTGTTTGAACCTAACCCACACACATACTTCTCAAGGACTGATAATTCAACAAGGCAATATGTCTATACTCCACATGGTGACCTTCCCAACCCCTAACTTGCTAGGCAGCGGTCAAGTTGCTGGTCTTCTGTGTTTGCTTTAGACTCTGCTCTCCAGTCCTAAATCTGCTACAGAGCTCCTTTAAAGGTCAGTGCTTCGGTGCACTGAAAACGTATAGAAAATCTGAAACTATATGATGAAAAAGGTGTGTCGTCAGATTTAGTCCAATTCTTAAGCAGCGCAGATGTCCATACATTGTATAATCTCTTAATTAGCAAGACAGGTAGAAGAATGCCTGTTTCCCACAGTTAGCGTTATTTAGATTGTATTTCTCAAGGCTGAATGTGGCAGTTGGTCTGTCAGTTAGTAATACTTACAGATATCATTTTTAAATAATTAGAAAACTAGTAACTGCTATAATAGAAAAATGTCCGAAAAGGGTCAATAAAGGACAAATTTGTCTCAGGAAGCTATGAAGAGCTATGGAGGGAAGTGTTCAGTGAGACTGAGATAGGAAAGTGCTTGGTAGGATGACAGAACAGCAGGGGTTTAGGAGAGCTGGCTGGGCGATGGGGAAATGCAGATGAGGTGAACCATCTGGGCCAAGATCACCAAAGGGAATAAAACTCATAGTGGGGGGAGGGTCAGAAAACCTAATAGAGGCTGGAGTGGGACAAGAGTCAGAAAATGATCACTTCAAGGACTAAGAGTGGAGACTGAAAACAGTGGGTGTGACAGACACTTAGGGAGGTTGAGTCCATACAACTTGTATCAAGATAGATGGAATGAAGGAAGCAGAAGAGGAGTGTTCCTGAATTTCTGACTTGGCAGTGGGGTGCCATAATTTGAAGTATAGAATGGAAATGGCCAGGGTACAGGTGAATGGGGAGAAACATGCTATCAGGTTATAGCGGTACAGATGCCCACACCTATCTGGGGACATACTTAAGGCATCTGTGTGAAAACCAAATGGATACTTTTAGTTAAAAAGATTTGGCATGAAGTTATCCATCTGGGAATCTAATCTTTTTTTTTTTCAATATTCCATTTTTATTATTTTTACTCTATTTTACCTGTATGAATGCATGTACTTGCATGCACCCAAGTCGTGCAATGCCTGTGGAAGTCAGAAAGGTGGCTTTGGATTCCCTGGAACTGGATTTACAGTTGTTAGCTGCCATGTGGGTGCAGGGATTTGAATCTGGGTCATCTGCAAGAGCAGCCAGTGCTCTTAACCACTGAGCCATCTCTCCATCCCCCAAGAATCTCATCTTTTGTATACAATAGCTGATAGGTTAGGGCTGTGATGGGAAAGAGAGACATAAGGAATAATATTAAACAACAATGGAGCCACAGAGGGGCCACAGAGGAAGAAGTTGCAACGACAAGAGGAAATGGCATGGTGCTCATGAAATTCAGGGACTTGGGTTATGCCTCCTCTCTACTCTGAAAAGAATTTTTAATGTTGAGGACAAGATCCACAGCTTAGTTTCATGTTGTTTCCCCTACAGCGCCTAACTCACTAGAGGGAATGTGGTAAACAACTCAGTAAACTCAGTGATTCTGTCTTAAGTGCTATTTCTTACTTCTCATTTCTTCAGGTAAACTTGATTCACGTACTGAGTTCACCTAGGTCTATTACCACTGTGCTACTCACAGCGTCTTTGGAGGCTTCTACTGAAACCTGATTTATCTACTTTTGTTTGTTTTTTGACACGGTCTCCCCATAGCTCCAGCTGGCCTGGAACTCGGCAGACCAGGCTGGCCTTGATCTTAGACATCCCCCTGCCTCTGCCTCCGGAGCACTGGGATCAAAGGCGTGCGCCACCACGCCATACCTACTTTTGAGAGAGCTTGATGGCCATGATGGTGGGTTTTCTTCCCCCCTTTTACTCGTATTTCTAGGAAACATTTTTGAACAAAGGTTAGCCTTATTCGTACTAGCTGTCAACTAGAAACCTGTTCCAGTCACCGAGACGAGACTGCCAAGTTCTCTGGCAACTATTAACCAGTCAGCATGCTTATTAAAGCTTTCATTTTATTACCCGTCACGAAGCCACCAGCCAGGGAGAACGCATTCATGCCAGGGGAGCCATTTAACTGCCACCAGAGCGTAACGCCTCCGGGCTCCGTGAGCCCCGGGCGCCCCGCAGACACCCGCCCGGGCCACTGCGGGGTCGGTCCGCAGCCAGCCCGCACGTCCCCCGCAGTCACCGGGCAGACGGCGCCCAGACGCGGCAGCTCCTCCTCCCGCCACCCGTCCCCGAGAAGCCCCCGCGCGCCACCCGACCGGAGAGAACAGCCCGCGTCCTGCTCTCGCGGGATCTCGCGTCCCACTGGCCCCGCGGGAATAGCGCTCCAAAACCGGGAATTCACGTGAGGGGCGGGAGAGCGAGGGGCGGGGCCACACGGGGGCGGGGCCACGCGGGGCGGCGTGCGGGAGGGCGGGGCTCCGGAGACCTGTTGATCGCAGGTGTCGCCGCCCGACCGGCCCCTGGGCACCGGCGGTGCGCGCATGCTCCGCGCGGGCCGGGCTGGGCGGCTGACGGCCGCCTCTGCCCCAGTCTCCGCGCGGGTCGGAGGCCGCGGGGTGAGGCTGAGCGGGTCGGCGCAGTCGGAGGCAGGTGTCTTCCTACCTGTGTCGCAGGCGCCCGCGCTGGGAGCCGGACTGGGGTGAGTCTTGGGAAGCGGCTGCTGGGAGATGTCCGGGACCCGCCGACCACCGTGCACCGGGCGGGATGCGGCCGACTCCCGACAGAGCAGCCGCGCCCGGAGCCTGCAGGGAGGGCTGCGGGCGTCTGCCCCTCGCCCACCGCGCGGAGCCTTGTCTCGGGGTCCGGGATGGGAACTTCTCCCCTAAGAGAGCAGAATGGATTGGATCCTGAGAGTCCAGTCTGACAATCTGCTGGCTTCTCCGGCTTGTACAGATGCACAAAGTTAATGTTTAGCTTCTAAACGTCCGTGCACGGTAACTACAATTACCAGCTACTTGGAAGCAGGAAGTGCGAGCACAGGTGTACCTGGGAGGGTTTCTAGAAGCCTGCAGGGCGAGCGGGTGTGGAGATTTTGTTGCCCGCCGCGAGGTTGGCTTTATGCAGATCCCGACGAATGCTTGCAAAACCTCTGCACGCCCTGTTAGCAGTTTTCTAAATGTTTCCATATCTGGAAATATGTTCCCCCCCCTCAAGGATTTTTTCAAGGCTACTTTTGAGGGACATATGAATGAACTTAGGAAGTTCTTTGTGATTAGCATTGTTGTACTTGGGTCTTTAAGAAAAGGCATGCTGATTTTCACGGTTTAAAAGGTGTAGCAAGTGCTGACACCGAATTCTGATAGAAAGGAGCTCCTTGTTACGCTGATAACGTGTTGGTTTTATTTTCTGTTCAATTTTGTGATGATGGTCGAGGCTAAAATCTTGCATCCTGTTAAAGAGGAAAAGAAAATAATGAAAATATAGTCCGCAAAAGCAATGTGATTTATTTGCTCTTGTCATAAGAATTCTAAATATACTTACTGTGGGTAGGAGGAATAGCATGAAAAACAGGGTTTTTGTTTTATATTTTAGAAGCTTTTAAAATAAGCTCCTTTGGACAGTTTGTCTAGGTTCATGATTACTGGCTAAACTATGAAAGTGGTTTATTTGAATTTCATAAATCAAACTAACTGGCACTTCTGTATTTTTCCCTAAGGTGTAAAAAAACAAGACACCCAAAACAAGCCTTTCCTTTATGTGTACTTTTTTTTTTTTAATTTCTAAAATTGTAGGTTCTATACAACTCATGGTGCTTGACATTAGTTCATTAATACTTTCTCTAAAAGATGTAGAGAGTAATTTTTAAAAAATAAAAATTTGCTTTTTTAGTGGTAAGTCACACTTTCTACTCACTTTTTCCTTAAAATCACAATATTATGATTTTGGTATGTACTGCGATTCAAGTTTTTTTTTAAATATTGTTTAGTGTCACAATGTTTATTTAATTGTGTGGTGCCAAGAAATACAGTTTTGGTATCATATGGCTTGGAAGTTTAATAGGAGAAACCTAAAAAATGAAAAATTTAATTTATTTTTAAGGTGATACACACTTTTAGAACCAAAGTCAGATTGACTTTCATTTATGGAACTTTTTGAAACTCCATAGTATTAGAAAGAATGGATGTTGTTTAACTCCACAGCATTCTGAAAATACATGTAATCTCTATACAGTAGTAGTTCAAAGAAAGTGCAAAGAAAGTGCAAAGAAGTTGAGTTACTAAAATACTTAGCAGACATGTTGTTTCACAGGTTTAACTATAAGGTATCTCCTAATTACAGACCCTATCGACAGTCTGCAGAAAGCTAGGTAGCTTATACCCTGAGTCTGGAAACAGTCTGAACACTGTGTGCTGAGGGGTTCACTTCTTCATGGGTTCTGATGTTTTAAGCAAGGAAATGTGCTGATTTATGTCATCTTGGGGGGGGCTGGGTAGAAATTAGTGATGATAGAAATGTAGCACTGGTATACTATTTTGTGTTTAAATGATTTTTAAAAATGTAGTTTGTCATGTATGCATGTAATAGGGACAAGAAATAGATGCAACTTACAAGTTTTTGAAACTTTAAAATAACTTTTAATACCGAAACCTTGGCAAGTTATTATGAGTTTTTAAAAAAATAATAGAAATACTCCATATACATATACATTGATAGAATATTTAGTTAAAAAATATTTGTACTATGGTTTTCCAAGTTAATTCATATTCTCTAATGGCCTATGATTGAAACTGAGGTGTTTGAGACAGTTTCTTAGAATTTTGTTATTTATTTATTCATTCACTGATTGTGTAGCCTAGGCTGATCTCAAATTTTCAGTCCTCCTTCATTCAGCCTTCCAAGTTTTGAGATTACAGGTGTGTACCACCATGTATGGCTTAGAACAGATTTTAATGTAATGGGTTTTCTAGTGCCTTGTAGCTAGTGTGCGTGTATATGTCTTTTTCGTTTTAAAAAATCCTGTCGGGACTAGAGAGTTGGCTCAGCAGTTAAGAGCACTGGCTGTTCTTGCAGGGGAGCTGGGTTCAATTCCCAGCACCCATATGGTGGCTAGCAACTGTCCATAACTCTAGTTCCAAGGGATCTGACACCCTCTTCTGACCTCTGGAAATTGCATGACATGGGTACACTTAACATACATGCAGGCAATGCACTCATACATACAAAATAAAAATAATAATAACAAAAATCTTATCAGACAAGACTTTTTTACTAGGCTATTAGAAGTATCTGTCAGACTCCAAAAGAATGGCTTCATGTATTCAGATTTGTAATCTGGAAAATAAAATATGCAACACAAATCTTCACTATCCTAGCTCTGTGTGTGTGGTGTGGTTTTTGGTGCTGGGGAATGAACCTAGGGTCTTCCTTACCCATGCTAGGCCACTGTTCTGACCACAGGGTTACAGCCCCAATCCTATCTTAGTTTAATGAATAAAATCAGTTATTTGAGGTATCATAGCATCTTTTTAATAGTATGAAGATTTATCACTGGGACTGGAGAGATATCTCAGTAGTTAAAAGCACTGGCTGCTCTTGCAGAGGACCTGGGTTTGGTGCCCAGCACCCACATGGTGGCTAACAGCTTCCTAATTCCAATTCCAGGGATCCAACACTCTCTTCTGACCTCTGTGGGCATTGCGTGCATGAGTGCACTTACATACATGCAGGCAGAATACTCATACGTATAAAATAAAAATTTCATCTCATTGAATGGAAAAAAAAAAAAGGTAGGGATAGTTTTAAGAAATGTCTTGTTTTAGATGGCTCAGCAGTTAAGAGCACTGACTGCTCTTGCAGAGGATGTGGGTTCAATTCCCAGCACCCACATGATAGCTACGAACCATCCTTAACTCCAGTTCCAGGGGAATCCAAAGCCCTCTTCTGACCTCTGCAGCATTGCATGACACGGGTGCACTCACACACATGCAGGCAATACACTCATACA